TTCTCAACCACTCTGGAACGCTTTTCCGACGTCCTTGGAGAATGCCCCAGGGGAATTGGGGCTGGCCCATCGGGGTCAACTTTCGAACACTACCGCGATCCAGCGCTGAGTAACATCGAGGTACTAGGGCACCTCCACTCCGCCGTTACGCATCTTCTCTCGACAAATCTTTCCACTGAAGTCGCAGCACTACTTGCCCCGTCCCGCCTTATAGCCTTGGCCAAACCAGGGGGGGGGTACGTCCCATTGCGATTGGAGAGTCATTGCTTAGGCTGACGGCAAAGGTGGCGCTCTCAGATCTGCAAGGAGAAACGCGAAATTTTTTCCTACCTCAGCAATTTGGCGTGGCAGTCCCTAGAGGTGCAGAATTTGTCATCCATGCTGTCCGAGACCTCACCACGGTGCAGCCCTCCAGCCTAGTACTCCAGCTCGACATTGAGAACGCGTTCAACTCAGTAGAGAGGAGCGCGTTCTTCAACGCACTCATCGGCTCCCCACTAGCTCCCCTAATCCCCTTCACACGCTCTTTCTACGCAGCATCTTCACCACTGCTGCTGGACCCATGCTTCAATTCCACGGCACTCACCAGCGGAAGGGGAGTCAGACAGGGGGATCCCCTCGGACCTCTGTTATTCGCAGCGTCTATCCAGCAACACCTCAGGCACGTAGCAACAGAGCACCCCGAAGTCACGGTCCTCGCTTACGCGGACGACATAACCATGATTGGACCCGCGGCGGCGACGCTGGAAGCGCTCAGGGAGCTCACGCCGCTGCTGGCACGGGACGGTCTCACCTGCAACTTTAGGAAGTCGTCGGCGTGGTCCACCGTGCCGCTAGGAGGGGACGTACTCCCCGAGGGCCTTCCCCTCACCCGCGAGGAGGTGCGGGTGTTGGGAAGTCCAGTGGGGTCGCAGAGCTTCTGCTCTGATTTTGTCCGCAGCACCCTGACAGATGCGGCAGCCCCCTTGGGCTCTCTGGCGTCCATCCACCCACAACACACCCTCCTGCTACTGTCTCGTTGCATCAGCCGCAGAGTCGGCTACCTGCTGCGCACTACCCCAGCTGACGTCTTACCGCTCTCGGAATGGCACACATGGTGCGCCGAATTACTGAACACTGCCTTGACCGCCGCCAGCATTCAACCGCCACGCCGACAAGCCGAGTTCAACTTCCTTCTCCGACAGGCAACTCTCCCAGTAGCACTAGGCGGACTGGGCCTTACGGACCCCACAACTGAAGCAGCACCGGCCTACCTGGCATCTACAACAGAGGCGCTGCGCCTGCTCCGCTCCCTGGACTTACCGGCAACCGCGCCGCTGGGGGCCGACAGCAACGCCCTGCAGCCGTCTGCAGCGCACTCCGTGACCATCCAGGACATGGAGGGGCGACTGCCACCGCTGGCGCTACAAAACCTACGGGAGGAGCAGCAAACCCCGTCCCAGGACCAGCTGCAGCGCGCCCTCTCCCAGGAAGTGCACGCGGCAAAGGCCGACGCCCTAAGAGAGGAGTCACGCGCAATACAGTCAGCCCCCGAGATGGGCCACACACTCCGCCTAGTCAGCCTGAGAGGAGGCACTACCCTTGACCCCGGACCTCTGCTTCTCACCGGGACAGTTCCGAGCGGCCCTGGCCTTCCGCATGGGCATCCGACAGAATGTACCAACCGTGTGCGAGTGCGGAGAACTCGTAGCCGACTGCAGCCTACCCAACCACTTACTCCGCTGCAGCACAGGCCCCGACAGGACGCGCACACACAACCAGCTGGCCTTCGCCATGGCTAAAATGGTGAGGGAGGCGCAGCTGGTGGTATACCTGGAGAATGCGATGTACTCACCTCCGGATGACCCGAAGAAGGCAGATGTGATTGTACAAGACCCGGACAGTGGAGAGACCTGGATCACAGACACCACGATCACTGACCCTGTGCTGCAGAACCGAGACCCCACAGCCCGCAAACCCCTAGGTTGGGCTGCAAGGGAGGCACAGAAGCGGAAGGAGAGGGACTACTACCGACACAATGAACACGTGGTGTTCTGCGCCCTGGCCGTCGAGACCTATGGGGCAAACGCGCCCCCCACGACGGCGTTCCTGAAACTGCTGGCCACAGCAGCAGCTAGGAACCGCTTCAGGGCCAGCCCCTTGGCGAAATCCGCCAAGAAGATGGCCTGCCACTTCAGCCAGCGCTGGTCAGTGGCCCTCCAGCGCTCCCAGGCGAATGCCCTGCACACCAAGGCCAGGACGGGGATTGAGGCAGCGCACCCCCAGATGGCAGCGGACCCATGGCCGCTGCACCTAGGGGACATCCTCCACACGCTGGAGGGTTAGAGGGGCACTAAGGGAGGGGGGGGGGGAGGGTCAGAGGGATGGGTTGATGGGTCGGAAGGTATAAGGGAACCACGAGTGAAATTGCATGTCTTTTCCCCCTGCTGAATTAATACAAAGGACCATTTGAGAGAGAGAGAGAGAGAGAGAGAGAGAGAGAGAGAGAGAGAGAGAGAGAGAGAGAGAGAGAGAGAGAGAGAGAGAGAGAGAGAGAGGAGAGGACTTTTGAGGCGCCTCAAAAGTCATCTGAAAGGGCCTCACTCCTCGTTGCGCTACGAGCCATGCCTTAATACTCGAGCTGAGAATCTAGTCGAGAGAAGAGAGATTACGGGAGAACCATTTGCTCGCGAGAGAGAGGAGAGCACCTGGTGCGAGGAGGAGAGCACCTGGTGCGAGGAGGAGAGCACCTGGTGCGAGGAGGAGAGCACCTGGTGCGAGGAGGAGAGCACCTGGTGCGAGGAGGAGAGCACCTGGTGCGAGGAGGAGAGCACCTGGTGCGAGGAGGAGAGCACCTGGTGCGAGGAGGAGAGCACCTGGTGCGAGGAGGAGAGCACCTGGTGCGAGGAGGAGAGCACCTGGTGCGAGGAGGAGAGCACCTGGTGCGAGGAGGAGAGCACCTGGTGCGAGGAGGAGAGCACCTGGTGCGAGGAGGAGAGCACCTGGTGCGAGGAGGAGAGCACCTGGTGCGAGGAGGAGAGCACCTGGTGCGAGGAGGAGAGCACCTGGTGCGAGGAGGAGAGCACCTGGTGCGAGGAGGAGAGCACCTGGTGCGAGGAGGAGAGCACCTGGTGCGAGGAGGAGAGCACCTGGTGCGAGGAGGAGAGCACCTGGTGCGAGGAGGAGAGCACCTGGTGCGAGGAGGAGAGCACCTGGTGCGAGGAGGAGAGCACCTGGTGCGAGGAGGAGAGCACCTGGTGCGAGGAGGAGAGCACCTGGTGCGAGGAGGAGAGCACCTGGTGCGAGGAGGAGAGCACCTGGTGCGAGGAGGAGAGCACCTGGTGCGAGGAGGAGAGCACCTGGTGCGAGGAGGAGAGCACCTGGTGCGAGGAGGAGAGCACCTGGTGCGAGGAGGAGAGCACCGGGTGCGAGGAGGAGAGCACCTGGTGCGAGGAGGAGAGCACCTGGTGCGAGGAGGAGAGCACCTGGTGCGAGGAGGAGAGCACCTGGTGCGAGGAGGAGAGCACCTGGTGCGAGGAGGAGAGCACCTGGTGCGAGGAGGAGAGCACCTGGTGCGAGGAGGAGAGCACCTGGTGCGAGGAGGAGAGCACCTGGTGCGAGGAGGAGAGCACCTGGTGCGAGGAGGAGAGCACCTGGTGCGAGGAGGAGAGCACCTGGTGCGAGGAGGAGAGCACCTGGTGCGAGGAGGAGAGCATCTGGTGCGAGGAGGAGAGCACCTGGTGCGAGGAGGAGAGCACCTGGTGCGAGGAGGAGAGCACCTGGTGCGAGGAGGAGAGCACCTGGTGCGAGGAGGAGAGCACCTGGTGCGAGGAGGAGAGCACCTGGTGCGAGGAGGAGAGCACCTGGTGCGAGGAGGAGAGCACCTGGTGCGAGGAGGAGAGATCCTGCGGCCAGGGGGAGAGCACCTGGTGCGAGGAGGAGAGCACCTGGTGCGAGGAGGAGAGCACCTGGTGCGAGGAGGAGAGCACCTGGTGCGAGGAGGAGAGCACCTGGTGCGAGGAGGAGAGCACCTGGTGCGAGGAGGAGAGCACCTGGTGCGAGGAGGAGAGCACCTGGTGCGAGGAGGAGAGCACCTGGTGCGAGGAGGAGAGCACCTGGTGCGAGGAGGAGAGCACCTGGTGCGAGGAGGAGAGCACCTGGTGCGAGGAGGAGAGCACCTGGTGCGAGGAGGAGAGCACCTGGTGCGAGGAGGAGAGCACCTGGTGCGAGGAGGAGAGCACCTGGTGCGAGGAGGAGAGCACCTGGTGCGAGGAGGAGAGCACCTGGTGCGAGGAGGAGAGCACCTGGTGCGAGGAGGAGAGCACCTGGTGCGAGGAGGAGAGCACCTGGTGCGAGGAGGAGAGCACCTGGTGCGAGGAGGAGAGCACCTGGTGCGAGGAGGAGAGCACCTGGTGCGAGGAGGAGAGCACCTGGTGCGAGGAGGAGAGCACCTGGTGCGAGGAGGAGAGCACCTGGTGCGAGGAGGAGAGCACCTGGTGCGAGGAGGAGAGCACCTGGTGCGAGGAGGAGAGCACCTGGTGCGAGGAGGAGAGCACCTGGTGCGAGGAGGAGAGCACCTGGTGCGAGGAGGAGAGCACCTGGTGCGAGGAGGAGAGCACCTGGTGCGAGGAGGAGAGCACCTGGTGCGAGGAGGAGAGCACCTGGTGCGAGGAGGAGAGCACCTGGTGCGAGGAGGAGAGCACCTGGTGCGAGGAGGAGAGCACCTGGTGCGAGGAGGAGAGCACCTGGTGCGAGGAGGAGAGCACCTGGTGCGAGGAGGAGAGCACCTGGTGCGAGGAGGAGAGCACCTGGTGCGAGGAGGAGGAGAGCACCTGGTGCGAGGAGGAGAGCACCTGGTGCGAGGAGGAGAGCACCTGGTGCGAGGAGGAGAGCACCTGGTGCGAGGAGGAGAGCACCTGGTGCGAGGAGGAGAGCACCTGGTGCGAGGAGGAGAGCACCTGGTGCGAGGAGGAGAGCACCTGGTGCGAGGAGGAGAGCACCTGGTGCGAGGAGGAGAGCACCTGGTGCGAGGAGGAGGCGGGGCGGTACGTGACTCGAGCTGCCAGTCGCAGGTCAGTCCACCCGTTAGCAGCATCGTCCCATGCCGGCGCCTCTGTCACTCTCGCCGTTCTCCCGAAACGTCGCCACCTACTTTCTGGGTCCTCCGCACCCACTCCACTGTCGCTGCTGCTGCCACTGCTGCTGCTGCCACCACTGCTGCTGCCGCTGATGTTGTTGCTATTGGTGATGGCGGTGATGGTGGTGGAGGAAGAGGGTGAGTCGGTGAAAAGGGAGGAGGCGGCACCGAGAGGTTGAGAGGAGGAGCGGTTGGCGAGGGTGTCAAATGCGAGGAGTGCCACGAAGAACGCCCGCTGCCTGCAGCAGAAAGCAGAGGGGCGATGGAGAGTGGAGAGGGGCGATGGAGAGTGGAGAGGGGTAATTGAGTGGACAGGGGTGATTGAGTGGACAGGGGTGATTGAGAGTGGAGAGGGGCGATGGAAAGTGGAGAGGGGCGATGGAGTGGAGAGGGGGCGCTTGATTGCACGAGGGTCAGATGGCAGGCAAAGAGACGGGCGGTGGGAGATGTGATATGAGTGCATGCACGGCACGAGAGTGCATGCATAGCCGGGGGCGGTGGGGTAGCAGTGGGGTAGGATGGCATGAGGGCGACGGGTGGAGGGAGAGGAGAGGAGAGGGGAGAGGGGAGGGAGAGGAGAGGGGAGAGGGGACGGAGAGGAGAGGGGAGAGGAGAAGGAGAGGAGAGGGGAGAGGGGATGGAGAGAGGGAGAGAGGGAGGTATGGTGGACACAGCACCTGCAACCAACGTCGAACGCGTCTCCAGAGCTCTAAGCTGGCTAAGCTGGCAAACCCTGGCTCTTTAAACTGCCTCTCTAAGCTGGCTAAACTGGCTCTCTAAGCCGCCTCTCCAAGGCCTCCGCAGCCCACCTGTCCGTTACTGACGCACCTGCAACCAACATCGAACGGGTCTCCAGCTACATCGAATGCTGCCACGTGCAATGCCAGTGACAGCAGCAGCAGCAGTGACAGCAGCAGCAGCAGTGACAGCAGCAGCAGCAGCAGTGACAGCAGCAGCAGCAGTGACAGCAGCAGCAGCAGTGACAGCAGCAGCAGCAGTGACAGCAGCAGCAGCAGTGATGGCAGCAGCAGCAGCGGCCGGCAGCAGCGGCAATATGCAGACACAGACCATCCCAGCCAAGCAAGAGAACAGCAAAGCAGGGCATGGATCATGTTTAGAATCACGCATTGTGCTTGCTCAGGAAGCTGCTTTTGAGTCGACTCAAAACCAAGCAAGAGCACAGCAAAGCAGGGCATGGATCATTACTAGAATCACGCATTGTGCTTCCTCAGGAATCATAGAACAATGCATAGGAATAAAATTAAGAGCAACTTGGAAGTGCGAAAGAAGAGAAGGCTAGGTGGGGATTATTGCATGTGCAGACCATAAGTGTTACACAGTCCCTTCCCAGCCCACAAGCAGTCCCTTCCCCGCCCCCGTCTCCCAGTCCCACCAGTCACAGAGAAGCACATGGTTGACTTTTGAGTCGACTCAAAAGTCAACCCCCGTCTCCCAGTCCCACCAGTCACAGAGAAGCACATGGTTGACTTTTGAGTCGACTCAAAAGTCAACCCCCGTCTCCCAGGCCCACCAGTCACGGAGAAGCACATGGTTGACTTTTGAGTCGACTCAAAAGTCAACCCCCGTCTCCCAGGCCCACCAGTCACGGAGAAGCACGTGCGCTGGTTAGCGAGAGCCCTCTCCGCGCCCGCTCCTTCCACCTCCACTCGCCCAAACCTCGCCACCCCCGTGACGTGCCACCCTTCCCCCGCCCTCCGCTCCTCCTCCACCCCGCACTCCCTCTCCGTCCCCTCCTCCTCCCCACGCGTTGCTTCCTCTCCTGCCCGCGTGTCCGCCGGCTCTTTTGCCGCCTCATTCTGCGCCATCCGCGTTACAGAGTCACGGCGCGCCCCTCCGTCCTCCGCATGAAACAAGTTCGCGACTGGCAACACTGTAACTCCGCGTCGCAAAAAAGGGTGCAACAGAAGCCGCGCGCAAAGGCACATCGCAAAAATCTGAGCTCAGTAGCCACACGGCGTGTAAGCTGGGACAATGCGACGTCGGCCTTGGTCCAGGCGTGATCTGACACACCGCCACATTTGTTAGTACAGAAGAGAACATATACCACCGCAAACAATGCCCTAGCATGCCATTACTCTGTCCCCTTTCACATCGTGTGTTTCGAGGCAGGGTAGGTGACGAGTTGCAAGTGAGTTTTGAGTCGACTCAAACCTCACCTTTCATATCGTGTGTTTCGAGCCAGGGCAGGTGATGAGTTGCAACGAGGGGTTTTTAAGGACATGAGTACACCTCAGGGCGTGTCATGCATGGTGAGTGTTCAGCTCATGAATCGCTGTTCAGGCCGGTATGTGGCGGTTCAAAGCGGTGGAACAACCATACCGCTGTAGAACGCACAACATCGTAGTCAACCGCTTCAAATGAACTGAGAGTTAACCAAGTATGACACGCCCAGAAAAAACCGCATTAAATAAAACCTGGAGCATAATATTGCACTATAGCAAAGCAGTGGGAAGTTGCAACTAAAGTCCGTTGCACATTCGCCTGCTTCAGTCACGCGCTGCTATGTCTGGAGGCGAATAAGTGACTACGGCTTTCGAGGCGCCTCAAAAGTCGCCTGCTTTCACTCACGTGCTGCTATGTCCGGAGGCGAATAGTGAACACGGCGTGAACCCTGCTACTTAAGTGGACAGACAGCAGCGCACCGACGTCAAATGAGCCATCTTTTGAGTCGACTCGAAATACCACTCACGCGCTGCTATGTCAGTAGGCGCATAAGTGAGCACGGCGTGAACGGCCATGTAGACGGACAGCAGCGCGCCGAGCAGCAGCACTGCGGCGACAAATGATCGAACTCCCACGCGCCGCTGCTCCACTCGATTCGTCTTTCCTGCTGCCACACCCCCTCCCATTTCTCGTAAAAATGTCATATTAGGACTACGTGCTTCGGCCTGCTCTCAGACGAGATTATTCGAGTATTAGTACTAGTACTAGGAATGGTACTACTGCTTTCAAGATCCATTCCGAGATCTATTTTCGCGATCACGCGGCAGGCTCTGCTGCCGGCACTCGCAGGCGGGAAAAGCAATGGTACATAACCAAATCTGTGATTGATGCCTAGCATAGCTTCCCGTCCCGACCCATCAGTTGTTGTGAATACGGGCATAAGGGCGTGCTCAATTTGAAGTCGCTGAAATTCCGGACGGTTGTCCGGACGCGTGCGAAGATTGCGACGTCGCACGGTCGCTTTGCGACCTATACGATGTCGTAAGGAGGCAATACGAAGAACACGACGTCGTTTAGACCCTGACGAGCTCACTGCCGAGAATTGACGAGCTCTGTAACCACGCAATCGTCCGGACGGCTGGCCATCCGGACGAAAAAATGAAAAATGCAACACGCCCTGACGGACTCTGATCTGACACACCATACAGCTGGCTCCACAACGAACCGCAATGGGTAGCGGCGTGGCAAGAGAGGAGACGAGAGGTGAGAAAATGTTATTTATATGGAAAATTGTAGATATTGTGTTCAGTGTACAGTACATCCTCACTGCCACAGCGTTAGAATTTCGCGTGCCCGCCATTTCGACCTCCACCTGAACCTCACCAAAAGCTATGAGTTGAAAAGCCCAGATTCCACGTAAAGACCTCATAGCCGTGACACAATTGACTGCACGTTGACCTCGTAAGCCCTAAGATTCCATTGCGAGAGTAACTCACTTGACATCAGATTTTTTTTCATGTGGCGTCAGAATTCTCTATCGTGTGAAATCAGGATTTTCTGACGTGGCTCTCACCTCATATCTAGAAACTCTCACCTGGTATCAAGACCAAGAGTGCATCCTTTGACTGCCAGATTGCGAGGGATGGCAGCATCACATGGAGCGCCGAGAATTGAGGCGGAGAAGGTTGTCGGATACGAATTCGACGAGGTTAGTGCGTCGCGTCGCATGTCTACAGGACGATTCGATCCCTGGTTGCATGAATTCGACCAATGGGGAACGCGGGAGTCGAGCGCAGCTTGCCTCAGCATCGCTTTCCACCTCCCCCTCGCCCCCGGCGTTACCAGTTCGTCGCTCTCGTTATTCGTTACTCTCATACAGCATTGCTCTCTCTATTCGTCGCTCCTCATTCATTCTCATGCACGGCTCCACCGAGTAATCCCCCTCCACGCATCTCCCCCATCCTCCTCAATTCTCTCTGTTCGCCCCCCTTTCCCTGTCATCGCTTGCCAACCGCCGCGCATGGACATGTAAATGACTTCTATTGGCCCCCATGCGCCGCCGCTAAACCCGGGACGATTTCCAGTCAGAATATGAGTACACAGCGAAGTAAGCGCAAGGTTACGGGGGGAGAAGGTGGGGGAAAGGGAGGGGGAAAGGGTGGGGGAAGGGGTGGGTGAAAGGGTGGGGGAAGGGGTGGGGGAACTGGGTGGGGGAAAGGGTGGGGGAAGGGGTGGGGGAACTGGGTGGGGGAAAGGGTGGCGGAAGGCAATGGGGGAAATGGGTGACGGCTTCCAGTCGGAGTATGAGTACACAGAGAAGTAAGCGGAACGCAATGGGGGAAAAGGGTGGGGGAGGGGGTGGGGGAAAGGAGAGGGGGGGAAACATTGCGTGGGAGAAAAGCGGGAAAGAAGTGTCTTTGTTGTTCATTTTTTTTCAAAACCTCGTACTTCTTGGTGGTTTCGTGGTGTCTTGCCAGTGATTGCCTCCCTGCGTGCGTGCGTGCGTGTGTGGCATGGCTTGTCCTGTATGCGACACTCGCTGCTGTGCACGTGCGCCATTGCCAACCCCTACGTCTGTGCCGGGGATGCATGTCCCTCCCTGTGACTGTGTGGCATGGCGTGTCGTTATGTGTGTGCTGGCTGGCAGGGACGTGGCACTATACGCGTTGGGCGTTGGGGCATGCTCGTCTGACGCGTGTGACTCTATCGACCTGCCCTTCGCCTATAATCACCTCTTCCAGGATCGATTCTTTGTAGGCACCAACCTACCACACTCCACCTGCTACAGTTACCCTCCTTGCGTCACTCTCCCTGCGTCACTATCCTTCTGTCCCCATTCCGTCTCACACCCCATCATCATATCACAGACGTTCCAAGATTGCACTCAATGCCCTTAACTCATTTGCTCCCAAACATTCCTCTCCCCTTCACCCTCATTTCCCTCTTCCCTCCTTGCGCCACCTCTCACACCACAGGTCCTCCCCACCTTTGCGGTTCTCTTCCCCTCCTCCCTCATCGAGCAACTACTCGCCGTCGATGGGCTCGTGTGAGTGGATGGGATGCGGCCGTGCTGGTAACCGCATTCGATCCTTTCTCCCTTGTTCTTCGCTCTATACCCCACACCCTTCCCCTCCTCCCTCGTTGAGCGACTCCTCGCTGTTGATGGGCTCGTGTGAGTGGATGGGGCAGGACACAAGCATACGTGTCCACGATGCAGGGAACTGCCTTCTCTCCCTCCCTCTCTCGCTCCTCTCCCTATACCTCCACTCCCTTTCGCCCTTCCGAGTCATCCATCTGCCCTGTATTCGTCTCAGAATCAGTCGCCCTTCTCCCTCTCTCTCCTCCTCTCCACCTCTGCACTCATCTCCTCCCTCCCCCAGCTTCGATCCGGCTCTATTGCTGCACGGAGAGCAGTACCTATGCCTCTTCCGCCCCCTGCCCACCTCTGCCAAGGTGAGCCCGAACCACCCAACTCAATACAACTGGCCACTCCTGCCCACCACTGCCAGGGTGAAAAATAGCCAGCCAGCTTGGTTTCTGTATCCTTTTGTTGAAGCAAACGGTTTCATACCAAGCCTGCATTTGCTTCTGATTCCTGCCAATCCAAGTGGTCAATCGCGCGCGCAATGCGGGGCTGAACTGCATGACCAGGAAATCATTCGCCTTTTTGTATAACTATTCTTTCTCATGTATCTGACCCTTGGTGTTTAACCCAAGGCAGGTGGTGAATCGAGCGCGCATATCAGCGCTGAGGGACAAGGGCAGGCGGCTATAGTGGACGTTGAGTCTCCCGACCCCTCCACAGCACCCTGTGTTTCTCGCCCTTGGTGTTTCTCGCAACCTCACCCTGCCGTAGGTGGTGAATCGAGCGCGCATATCAACGCTGAAGGACAAGTTTACGAAAGCAAGTACTTACCTGTATACCTGCTCTCGCCCATATGTCTATCTGACCCTCGGTGTTCAACCCAAGGCAGGTGGTGAATCGTGCGCGCATATCAGCGCTGAAGGACAAGGGCGGGACGGCTATAGTGGACGTGGAAACAGTGTCGTTCGACCACTCCGCAGCACCCAGATCTCGTGTTTCTCGCCCTTTGTGCGCCTCGCAACCTCACCCCACGGCAGGTGGTGAATCGAGCGCGCATATCAGCGCTGAAGGACAAGGGCAGGGCGGCCATAGTGGACGTGGAAACAGTGTCGTTCGACCGCGAGTCAGGCGCCAGGCTGGCAGTCAACAGGTGCGCTTCTGTTCTGAGTCAACAGGTGCGCCTCTGTTCCGAGTCTACTTCAAGTGAATAAGGGACCTGAAGGACAAGGGCAGGGCGGCCATAGTGGAAGCTGAGGCAGTCTCATTTGACCGCGAGTCAGGCGCCAGGCTGGCAGTCAACAGGTGCGCTTATGTTATAAGGCGACTTACAAGGCGTAGCATGCAGGGGAAGGAACAAGGGCAGAGCCGGCGGCCATAGTGGATGTGGAGACGGTCTCGCTAGACCGCAAGTCAGGCGCCAGGCTTGCACTCAACAGGTGAGTGTGAGACGTTGCTCGACTGAAGGGAGCTTAACCGTGTGGGCTGCCCATTATTGCAGCAGAAGCATGCTATCATGTCAGATCATATCTTTCATGTTGTATCATAACTTTCCATGTGCCCTCATCCGCCCTATTTGTGGCATGCCATGGCATCCCCTTTCATCCTTCTAACCTTCCATTCGATCATGTGCCATCCCACTCCATGCCATGCCATGCCATGCCATCCCACAACCCCATCAGGTCATCCATTGTGCTGCGTGGTGCCGGGGGGTTCTCCTCCAAACTTGCCTCCACACCTGCCACCACGCCACGTCCTTCCGCTCCCACCACCTCCACGAACCCATCTCAACCGCAACAGCAACCACAACAACCACCACCAGCACGTGGCAGTGCGTCAGTCGCCAGACAGCCATCCGTTCGCCCAGCACCCCATGCATCAGCAGAGGAGCGCATCCCCCCCAATCAGGCTCTGCTGTACCGCCTCTGTGGCGACCTCAACCCCCTCCACTCCGACCCTGAATTCGCCGCCACTGCAGGGTAACTAGCCCTATTTCTGATGTCCACCATCCTGCTCTTCTTCCCATTGTCTTTGGAACCTGTTACCTGCCCACTCAGCTTAGTTGTATTCCCTGCCCTCAGCATCGTCTCCCCATCTCCGTCACCTCTACCTCATCAATCTATGTTGCCTTCCCTCCTCAACCCACCTCCATTTTCCCTCTTCCCCCAACCTCAAAATCTTGCTCTACTCATTCCCAACACCCCAGCTATCCTCGCCCGATCCTGCACGGCCTCTGCACGCTCGGCTTTGCCACCCGAGCCATCCTCCGAACCTGCTGCAGGGGCGACCCGAGCCTCTTTCACAGCGTGCAGGTTCGGTTCACCGGGCATGTGTTTCCTGGGGAAACTCTCATCACCCGAACCTGGCAGCCCGTGTCCATACCAGCATCAAGCGCAGCAGGGGAAGATGAGCCAGCAGGATCGGGAGAGGGGGGCGTGGGAGCATGGGGGAGGCCGTTGATGCGTGTGAGCTTTGAGTGCTGGATCGCAGAGCGCAACAGGATGGTGCTGTCTGGGTGGATGCAGCTGTGTGCTGACAGTGAAGGCACGGACAATGAATTCACGGGAAGAGATGTTACGGGCGGAACCCGCTTGGCCAAGCCACGCTTGTAGATCCTTCACTCCAGTAGCAGATGCGAGCAACCATTGTACATATGACAATACTCTCATAGCCCCACGCACTCGAGTCGTTGCCCTCATGCACCGACAGTGCGTGCACATGTAGCCCACAATGATACCAACAGTCACGTACGTATGTGGAGCCACACTTGTTGATCATTCAATTCCACGAGTTCCCCCATGGCAGTGTACATGCAATCTCTGGTCTTGAGCTGATTGTTCCGTATGTGCCTGGTAGCTGGCTGGGAAAGAATATGAAACAGCTGTGCTTGGAGCTGCAGATGGCATCTTTCCATGCATGCAAGCAATCACTCTTTAAGTCTATACTTGAAGGGGTGTTACCTAGGTGTCAAATACACAAGCGTTGCCACTGGTTCTGGCTCCTAACCTAACTAGCCTTGTTAAGGTTTCCTGTGCACAAGAAGCTGCACATTTCAAGCAAGGCCCATGAGCCTACTTGTGATCCACCTGTGGGAAGAGCATGCATGGTGCTGCCGTTGGCCTTGCAAATCATGCCAGTCAAGAGCCTGTGCCTCTGGTTACTGAGTCTACTACTGCTCCTCTCCTCACCTTCCATACTACACTTCACTTCCAGAAGAAGAGTGTTGAGGGTTTAGGTTCCCCACCCAGTCGATCCGGTTCCAGACGGTGCCGATCACCTCTTGGAAAATGCAGGCCATGAGACGGTGACGGTATCCCTCAGGCACCCTTCTGCTGCCGCTGCTCTTCAATCCTTGTACTGCAACTGTATATTTCCCAAGGAGAGTGTGCAGAGTGCGGGCCACCTCTTGCAGCATATGCGGGCCATGAGCCTGTATGCCCCGGGCACCCCCCCTGCCGCCGCTGCTCTTCACTTGTTGGACTGTGATCTCTAATTCCCAAGAAGCATGCCAAGAGTGCAGGCTGCTGCTGGCAGCATGCGGGTCATGAGCCCGTACCCCTCAGGTGAATCTTTGCTACTGTGTGTTGACTTCAGAACCATCACCTTTCCGCCAATAAGGTGCTGACAAAAGCCCTGTTCAGTAGCACTTAGGCTGCACAAGAACATCGCATCGGCAACACAACAAACCACAACTCTTGCCAGCCTTGGCCCGAACCTTGGCTTACTACAGACAAAATTCAACTTGAATTACCGTGCAACCCTTACAGATGTACATCCAGCCAGAGAAATCTGAAGCTGATGCCGCAGGGTGCGCACAACAGACAACAGACGTGAAAGCAAACTCGAAACTCAACGACCAATAGTGTCGGAACCCGGCTTCGACGAACCTGAGGATAAAATTCCACGAAACCGCTTAGTTTTTCTCAAAGGTTCCCCCTTGAGGTCCCCTTGTGCATCGGAGGGAATCAACTCCCTCTCTCTCTCTCTCTCTCTCTCTCTCTCTCTCTCTCTCTCTCTCTCTCTCTCTCTCTCTCTCTCTCTCTCTCTCTCTCTCTCTCTCTCTCCCTGCCAGCTCCGTTCCCCCAGGGAATCTCCGCAAGCCTCAGGCCGAGCTCGTCCTCAATTGGATTGCGGAGTCTTGGGCGGCGGTGCCGGCAGACCTCATCGAGCGGTCATTCAAGACGTCTGGCATCACGAGCAGACCTGATGGTCGCGAGGACCACCTCATCCTCGCCCACATGCATGATGCAGCAGCGGTTGAGGTGGCAGTCAACGTGAATGCGGCTGCAATGGTGGAAGTGTGGGTCAACCCACTCTACGCAGCCCACCAGCCCGACACTGTGGATGCTGGTGATGATGATAATGAAGAAGGCGTCGACTCAGAGGTTGATGAGCTCAATCATGACCCTGACGACCCCACTGCCTACAACAAGTGGGATGATGAGTAGGTAGTTAGTATAAACCATGCAGGCACTACCTGAGGAATCACCGTGGCATAGTTAACATAGCTCATGCTTTAGGTAACGTAACTGCGTTCACATGTGACACTTAAGAATCTGACATGTATGTCACTGTAGTAAACTGTTAAGTTGCCTGCTGAATGTAGAGGAAAATAACCATTGAAGAAATGGGAGACCTCACAGATTGGTATTAAAAAAGCATACACCAACTTAGTAGACTAGGGAGGAATGTCCTTAGTAGCCATAGCGTGAGTACGAGAGTTGTGAGCGAGAGGTGTTTGGCAAAACAAAGAGGGTTTGCAATATGGAAGGAGAGACAAGATATAGGAAAGGTGGCAAAGGGGGGTATACCACCAAGGCCCTACACTTCTAGCTATACGTGCATTTATATAAGAATAATATGTATTCTAACACCCTCCTCCCCCTCCGGCACGTAAGTCCTGAGGGACTCTTTTAGCGGAGGGTCCTATATCCGGGAAAGTACGGTACCTAGTTTAGCAAAAACTATCATGTTTCTAAGCAGGCGGTGGTGAACCAAATATCCAGCATGGCGAGGGTAACTATCCACGAGTAATGCGTGCTGTCATCTGTCAAGTCAGGACGAGGAAGCGTGACAGGAGTCATTGGCACAAATCTTTCAAATCCTTCGTGTGGCAGCAGCCTGAAAAGCATAGAGCACCACCAATAAGAGGGTAGCAAATCACAGTAGGAAGCAAGGAGATTATTTCAAGGGCATTCAGTCCAATGAACAGACTTGCTGCTGTGTACCACCTCACACAATCAATGAATTCAGAAGGAAATCACTTATTGATGTTATTGATGCATGAAGCTGGCATCGCCACCACCTTGTCAATCTTTGCTCTGCCCTAAATCATGTGTAGTCACTTGCTGTTGGAATTGTGTGGAGATTGTGATTCAACAATTGGTTCAGTTCTTAGCGATGTGAGTATGACATGAGGTGAGCGACATGATGCGAAAGCACCACCCACTGGGAATATTCCTCTTGAAGCACCACCCACCTGGAAGCTTCCTCCTCGAAGGCCATGCCACGCACGTTGTCACTTCGGTTGATCAGCCAGCGCGGCTTGATGTCCTCTCTGGCTGCCCACGGGCCAAAGAAGGTCACCTGCTGCGCGTTCTGCACGTGTTGGCGTATGACGGGCAGCAGGTGCATGCCTGGGTGAGACATGGGGAGCAGAGTGCACATGAGACGGCAAGGAGAGAAACATTTTGCAGCCAGCATGCAAGGGCACATGAGACAGTAGTCAGGTGTGAGAACGAGAGAGGGCGTACGACTGTGGAACGAGGAGGATTGCAAAGAACGAGGAGGATTGCTATAGCATTATAGCGTGAAAAGAATAGCACACAAGAAACTGGTTGTGAGGCGCCTCAAAACAAGAATAGCACACAAGAAACTGGTTGTGAGGCGCCTCAAAACAAGAATAGCACACAAGAAACTCGTTGTGAGACGCCTCAAAACAAGAATAGCACACAAGAAACTGGTTTTGAGGCGCCTCAAAACAAGAATAGCACACAAGAAACTGAGAACAGAATAGAGGTGCTCTGGACGCATGCGCGTTGCTAGAGCACAGGCACGCGCGTTGCTAGAGCAAAAGCACAGCCGGCACTGCCTCCACTCATGTGTGTTTTGGCTCCATGCACGCACATGCCACTCTTCTGTAGTCCAGTGTTGAGTTGAGTGTGGTGACATCATGCAGGAAGGAGTTGTAGGCAACGAGTCGGAAGGGAGAGTCTGGGCGGCTCAGCACGTCGTCTCCCAGGAGGCTGGTGTTGAACATCCACGCTGGCAGCACCTCCTGCACCGCTCCCATCTGTGCCACGTATGTCAGATTGAACACAAAGGCGCGGCCGCTTCTTCTGGTCATGTTGAACCTAGGAGGGGCAAGGGAACGGGAGGTGCAGCTTTTGAGGCTCCTGTATGGACCCCATCTGTGCCACGTACGTCAGATTGAACACAAAGGCCCTGCCGCCCCTGGTGACGTTCAACCTGGGAGAAGAAACGGAAGGTGCAGCGCTCTTTGAGAGTGAAACCAAAGATCCAGAATGGGCGAGCAGAAGAAGATATAGAGGCTAATGGCATGGTGCAGGCTAAACGCTTAAGCAGCAGGAACAACAGGGGAGGGTGCAGTGCTCATTGAGAGTGAAACCAAAGACCGGAATGGGCGAGCAGAACAAGACAGCAAGGCTGTTGGCATGGTGCAGGAGGCATGGTGCAGGAGGCATAGTGTTGACCAGAAGGCAAGCCGTTGACCAGAAGGCAAGCCGTTGACCAGAAGGTGTTTGTTTCATGTCGAGCGTAGCACCTAGCTCCCCAGGCTCTCACCTCGTGTGCACGAAGCCTGTGCAAGGCGAGCCATGGTATAAGGTGTCTGCTATATGGGGTCCGAGCACGGGCATCTGCACATAAGGTGTCTGCTATATGGGGTCCGCGCACGGGCATCTGCACATAAGGTGTCTGCTATATGGGGTCCGTGCACGGGCATTTGCACAGGCGCCTGCACGGGCATCTGCACATAAGGTGTCCGCTATATGGGATGCGTGGCTCACCTCGTATTTGAGTCGACTCAAAAGCAGACTCAATAGCGTTTTTGCGTCGACTCAAAAGCGTTTTTTTTGCGTTTTTGCGTATTAGAGCGAGCCATAGAGCATGGTGTCCGTCCGCTATGTAGGGTGTGCGCTCATGCTGCTGCACAGGCATCTGCACATGCACATGGGGTCCGTGGCTCACCTCATGTGTGTAAAGCCGTTGTAGAGCGAGCCATAGAACATGGTGTCCCCTATATAGGGTCTGCGCACACGTGTCTGCAAGAGCTGGTCGAATCCACTCCCCTCGCTGTCATTGAAGGGGCTAAACCCCTTTTCGGGAGAGGCATAGAAGCCGTGGACACCCTTTTGGGGGCAGATACGGCCGCAGCAGGGGCAGACATGCAGAGATTTGGCACGTAGGTTGGTTTGATTGAAGAGTGAAATGGGGTGGGCAGAGCAGGGCACAGAGAGGCACGCATGGAAAGAGACGGGACGAAATGCAAGAGACAATGCGAGACAATGCAAGAGAGTACGAGGCAGTACAAGACAATGCAAGAGAGTACGAGGCAGTACAAGACAATGCAAGAGAGTACGAGGCAGTACAA